TACAAGTTTAATATGTAGCACCTAACAGTTTTATGGCAGTAAGCAATGCCAGCGGCAAATTGAATATTCACGAAAATACTGACTGAGTTAGAGATAACATTTAACAGTCATCATAAAACTATTATTTTTATGATAAAATAGAATTGGGGAAAGTCGTAAAGATATAAAAGTGATAAAACTCAACAGTTCTTGGAAGTACTTGAATACAACAATTATTGTCGAGATAAAATGTTATTGTTGTGATAAAATGTTAATGGATTTGGGACTGCTAATGGGTTTTTTATTGCATCATCACCCCAGTAATAAATTATGAAGATCGTAAACAAACATCTGATAAGACTTTTATGTGCTCGGAACCAACTGTCAGTAAACTGAAAGTAATTTATTATTATCGAATTTGTACCATGTAAAATGCTGTACCGAACCGATGACGGTAATTAAGCTTGTACCGTACCGACTTTTTCGGTGCACCGCAGACCCCAAATTTCAACTGAACTCTCATCTGCCAAATGGGTTTTGAAGCTTTTTTTGTTTGAACTGTAAAATCTTGGTCGTTATCACTGCCTGTGTCTGAGTCCAAACTTGAAGGTCAACGTATTTCTTCAGTTTCGACTAATTTTAAAACAGAATCTGAGGACGAAGGCTTTGCAGCTTCTTCTACATATAAATGACTGTCTCTTGACTTCCTTTCCAATGCTTTCTTACGCTTGTTTCTTTCATTAACGTCCACCGGGCCAATTTTCCCTACTCCGTACTTTCGCATTAAGTATACAAATTTTAGTTCAATTGGGGGTATTTTCTTTGATTTTTCACAACTGCAATCAATAGTGACTTTGCACTGGCACAGATCTGGGACTTTTTCGCAAGTGCATTCAACAGCGATTGGGCATTTGCAGGCTGCTACATCAAAAAGAAGTGAGCACTTTTGTTTAAAATCATCAACACGTTTTTTAAAAGAAGCATTGTTTTTGTCCCGTGTATATGATTTCCTCAGGCCACAATACTTATCATGCAATGCAGTTATGATCTGTGTAATTCACGTCTCTGTAACTGTAGGGATAGATGCTTTTTCATATAAGCTAATTACTTTGTTAGTTACTGTACTGGTAACCTGTTTGAAACTCACGCTCTTATTATTAATTCTTAATGCTAGATTAAACCTTTCTTGAGAACATCCCCGAATGATTTCCTCGCCCGTAGGTAGCTTGTTTGTTGGGAGATCTTTTGGAGTACCAAAAATGGGGCAGTCGAATGTCTGTCTTGTTATCACTTTCTTCGGCAGAGCCATGACGTAATTGCATCGATATTCACACAGTCATGTCAACAGTAACACACAGCAATACGATACCCAAAACACCAAAACAGTTGCAAAACAAAATCTGATATTTAACTAAACAGTGGGACACTGCAAGCACAACTGACAGAAGCAGACTGACAAAACTATAAGGGGAGGGAGACGCGTGGCGTGATCTTAGGAATGTAGGGGGGGGGGTGGAATGGAGGGGAGAGGTCGTTCAACCCGGCTAGACAAGTGACTCACGACCAGTTCCATTGAAAAAGTTGGCCTACTATGGTCATTACTTATAAAAAACTAATTATCAATATTATTTATCGAATTCAATAAATGTGTGAAAATGTGAAATTTTCCAATATTTTGGTGAACTGTAAGATTTATGCGCGACCGGAAGATATCAATTAATATAAACCAAACTAAAACACAATGTTTTAAGGCTCATTCAGAAGACGTTACAAACTATTACATTACGTAAACATTAATTAAAAAAATAAAGTTTTTTTTTTAAAACGTGATTTTTCAATTTTTTTTTCAAACTTTAGGGCCTATGCGCGACCGGAAAATGTTAACCGATTTTGATAATTTTTTTTCTTTTTTGTTGTCTGCATGATTCGCAACTTTTCCGCACTATTAGAACTTTGAAAAAAAAATCAATTTTTTTCAGCCCACCCTAATAGGCACCCCCAATTGTAACCACAACTGAACACGATTTCATAAAAGGGTTTGTCTAATTGCAGTATCCTAGATCAATGTTGACGTGTTCAATCTATGTCATCCATCTGTTTATCTTTGTATAAAACCTGGCTGAGGTTGTGGTGGTAATTTAAAATCGTGATTCCTGATTATTCTTGATCTTCTTTTTATGACATCAATATTTCCGGGCCTAATCCAAACAAAGTTAAAGCAGACAAACATTATTGTAAATAAAAAGCTACCATAAACAATTAAAACATGTAAACATTGTTATTTTTCTAATCTTTCCTTGGAAAGTGTAGCAGTAAAATAATTTGCATTTATCCTTTTTTATTGAGACTCGTGTACAGAGCCTCGATTTGTACTGTGGTTTAATTAATTTTGGTTAAAACTGTGGTATAATTATCTCTACTAATCTTACTTACCTATAATCAATGACAAAATAAGAGTAAATAAAATAACCTCATAGTTCCATAGTTTATATTTAACCAGCTGTTAGTTAAAACAAATTATATTGCTCTAAAACAAATCGAAGATTTCAAAGATTGCTTTAAAAAATAATTTGAACATCCTAGTATTTTACTATGTATATTTAATTAATCTGTCATCCTCTTACAGAAGAATTGAACACGTATCAATGATTAGCATTACACATAGTATAAATAAGTCAACCCTAAGTATGTCTTTACATTTTCATCCAAATGCTGAATTTGTGACACAAAAGCTGAATGTTTACAGCTGTTATGTTAAGCAAATTATTTTATGCCAAAAGCTAGTTTAGAATCTTAGCGTCGGCTGCTAGACTTTTTAAAAATTAAAACTTAATTTCTAAAAAACTGGGACCCTAAACTAAAATTATGGCTTCGACATTCCCTAGTTCTCAAAATTATCTTTCTTTCAACACAAAAATCATGAAAATCCGTCGAGTGGTTGATTCAGAATCGTGAAATAAAAAAAACACAGTTTCGTTTTAATATTATAGATGTTAAGAGATACAAAACCACTTTTAACAAGGTTGTCAAAGCAGCTAAGCGGCAGGCCAACAGCAATTTCATTAAAGTGTCTGACAATAAGGTAAAGGCTACTTGGTCTGTAGCAAGGAGGCAGCTAGGTTTAGAGAGTAACAATCAAACTTGTATGGAGCTAGAAATGGTAATACCAGGATTGATGACCCTAGGGAAGTGTCACAATATTTCAATAACCATTTTAAAAACATATTTAAATGAATTGAATATTCCGAAGATAAATGTAATAGAAACCATGAAAGACTATCCATCTTATAACTATTCAGATTTTTATATTGAGAATTTTTCTGATTATTACATTAGCAAAATAATAAAAGGTCTGAAAAATAAACCTTCTACAGGCTGGGATGGAATACCTGTCCTGTTATTGAAGCAAAATTCATTAATACTGGCACCGGCATTGAGTAACATCATAAAAGCATCCATTAGCAGTAGTGTTTTCCCAGGAAAACTTAAATAAAAGGGTAATGTCATTCCAGTTTTTAAGAAGGGATCAAAAGTAAACATAAATAATTATCGACCAATCACATTACTCTCAAACATATCAAAAATTTTTGAAAAGGTTATGTGTGATAACCTAAGTAGATTTCTTGAAAATAATTCTTTCTTTCACAATTACCAATTTGGCTTCAGAAAAAGCATAAACACTCAAACAGCTCTATCAAATTTTGTTAACAAAACCATGTTGGCCTTGGATGAATCACAGTATGCAGCTGGTGTTGTCTGTGATTTGTCTAAGGCATTTGACTGTGTCAATCATGAACTACTAATTCACAAACTTAGTAAAATTGGAATAACAGGTAACATTCTTAAATGGTTTAGATCATATTTGGCAAACCGTAAACAAAGAACTCTCATCATAAAAAAGGGAATAAAGTACTATTCAGACTGGATAAATATAGAATGTGGAATTCCTCAAGGCTCAATTCTGGGGCCTTTATTATTCATCATCTATATCAATGACTTGCCCCAAAAATTCTTTCAGAATTAATACTTTTTGCAGATGATACCACTGCTTTTGTGAAAGGCAACTCAATGTTGGAAGTGCAAATTTCAGTTAACAAAACTTTGGAAGATCTCCGTGAATGGTTTACAGCTAATGGCCTGGCACTAAACAGTGATAAAACAAACGTCTTATTTTTTCAAAAGTCAAACATAACAGATATTTCACAACAAAAATTTCTCGGAGTGATCATTGACCAAAAACTAAATTGGAAGGAACATATTGATTATTTGTAAAAAAAATTAAGATCATACTTTTTTGCTTTTTCAGTCCTTTCTCAGTGTGCATCAAAAAATGTTATCAGAATAGTTTATTTTTCCCATGTAGAATCGATTTTGAGGTATGGCATTACCTTATGGGGAAATTCAAAAAATAGTAAAAAGATATTTTCAATGCAAAAAAGATTAATTAGAAATATGGCAAACGCTAAATTTAGGGCTTCCTGTAAAAAACATTTAAAAAATCAGTCCATATTAACTTTCTCCAGCCTGTTCATTTATGAAAGCCTTAATTATGTCCATGAAAAAAAAAAAGATGTTGAAAAGTTCTTAATAAAAAATAAATACAACACTAGAAACAAGAACCTTTTTAATGTAATGTTTTTAAAGTTAAAACTAAAGAAATTCTACTGGATAAGGGTTATTATACCATCTCAGACTTTTTAGCAGACACCTCCTTGGGTTAGTCATTGTACATTTTTATTGTTATTGCAATCTTCTACGTTTTATGTAAAATGTTTTTTCCATTGTATTTTATTATTAAGATTTATGTAATTGACAAGACACCAGTTACTGCTATAAGCACCCAATAAAACGTTATTTGTGTCAATAAATTGATTTGATTTGTTCCAGTTCCAGTGTGTATCGATGGGACAGAGTGGTCTGGAGTCTAGTTCTTTCAACTCTCTGCTCAATGACAGACTCACATTCACCATTTACTGTTTTCTATTAGCACTGGAGTAAGCCTTAACATTCGATTGTTCCAGTGTGTATCGATGGGACAGAGTGGTCTGGAGTCAAGTTCTTTCAACTCTCTGCTCAATGGCAGACTCACATTCGCCATTTTCCTGTCTCTCTATTCTCTGCCGCTGATTCATCACAGCTCTAAACCCCATTTTCGATTATGGTTTGGCAACTTTTTAATTTGTTGTAAATATTAAGTTATGTATCTTATCAGATTGTACCATTGTTTTCAATATGGATTGTTTTATTGTTGAACAGCTGTTTGAAATGAAGTGTTCCACCCTGTAACATATTTTTTGATGAATATTTATGATCTCTGTTTTATGATAGTGCACAAGAAAAAAATGCAATATGTGTAAAAGCTTTGTTATGGCATAAAGAGCCAAAATAGTGGTTTTGTTTGAAACTTTTGCACTATTTTAGTGTGTTTTGCTGTTTTGACTTACGGTAGCTGACTAACTGTAAGTCAACTATCCAAAGTAAAAACAGTTTATTTAAAGCTTAAAATAAGATATCCAAACAAAAAAGTTATGTTTATAAACCATCTGTTTTGAGCGACAAAACCGTGCAGGGTGTCTACCAGGCAGGAATTCCAGGAAACTGGGGCAAAAGTTGGGGATTTTGAAAGGTCGTGAAAGAAAAGTTGTGATAAAGTAATGAATTTCCCTTGGTCAAGAATAATCCAACTCTCAAAATTAGGGATAGGGGAATCCCGAAATTTCGTGAAATTTTTGGGATTAATATATTGTTTGGACAGAATTACATTAAATTCGGGATTTTCTCGAGACGGGTATCGTTCGATGATTTGGCCGCCTCGTGAGTGGCGATGATGAAGTTCCCGCTATTGTGAGAGATCTTCACGATGATTCCGCAAACCCAGTGGACAATGATGATGTCTCTATGACCGCAGGGATCTTCTTGTTTGCGCCTTCATAGTCGCAAGACAAGTCGAAGATGGTGCTGGAAACATTGGATGTGTTGACGATCGCCCACGAGCTCAGGACATGTTGGCGATGGTGATCGCAGGAAGTCTTGGCAGTGGCGCTGTTACTGCGGGATGGCGCCATGATCGCAGGAGGTCTTCGCGCTAGCGCTGTTACTGCAGGATGTTGACGATGGCATCTTGACTATGAGATACATTAACGATTGTGCCGAGATCACAACATATCTTGAGGCTGGTAGCATGACCACAAGACATTTTGATGGTGGCGCCGTTACTAATAGATGGAAAAATGTGTAGTAACATGGGAAATGGACCAAGTTTTTGATCGGGATTATATTAGAAATGGCAATGAAAAAGAAAAAGTCAGTAATTTCATTTAAGAAATCTGGTAGACACCATGCAGTGGTTTATTGCTGCATATTTTTTAACATTTAATGGAATGTAATATTCGTTTTATGAGACTTGTGGTTTCTATATAACAGTTCTAAATAAGCCTAATTATGACTAAGTTGTAAATAGCTAACAATTAAAATATAAAGCTTTTACATCACCAATATAGTATTTACTTATAAAATATTTTGAGACTAGTCATGTAAGTTTAATTGTTAGTTTTTTTATAGTTTATTTATCATATTCTATTACATCATTTCAAAATACAAAAATATATACAGTAATACCAAAGATATAACATTTTGCTATAAATAAGCATTGCAGAATATTATACATACATATACTTACTCTTACTTACTCTTACTCCTGTGGCCATTGGAAACCTAGGTGGTTTTTGGCCTCGCCAACCATGTGCCTCCAAGCTCTTCTATCCTCTACCAGCTCCAAGTCTGCTCCCATTCCTCTCAAGTCCTTCGTCGCCTCATCAACCCATCGCATTCTTGGTCTACCTAATGGTCTCCATCCTTCTGGTATACCTCTGAGTACCATCTTTACCATCTCTCTCTCACTTCTACGGTTAATATGGCCCATCCATCTCAACCTCCTACTCTTAACTATTCCCACAATATCTGGTTCACCATATAATTATTTTAACTCTCTATTTTTCCTTATCCTCCATGCATTTCCTTCTTTTACTGGTCCAAAAATTCTTCTCAAAATGTTGTTTTCTAAAGTAATAAGGCGCTTCTGGGATTTTTTTGGTAAAAGACCAAGTTTCTGACCCGTATAGCAATACAGGTTGCACTATAGTTTTATACATTCTTATTTTAGTGGTTTTTGATAGCAGTTTGCTTTTGAATAATTTTATTAAACTCCAGTATGATCTTTCTGCTGCTGTGAGTCTGCTCTGAATTTCTATTTCTTCTCTATTATTGTTTGTGATCATCACTCCCAAATACTTAAAAATACTAGTTTTCTGGAACCTATAGTTTAATACTTCTAAGTGGTCTTCCTCGTCATCTTGCCTACTTATTTTCATGTAGTTGGTTTTGTTTTCATTTATTTGTAAACACCTTTTTTCTTGCTTCTTTAATTAGTACTTCTGTTAGCACTTTGAGATTATTTTTGTTTTCAGCATATACATATACATACATATAGTAGTATATATATGAATTCAAATTGTTGTCCCTCTAGAATGGTTGTACAAAGCTCATCACACTCAGGGAGCGTGCCGTGTCTCGCCTCGCAATTGTAAATACTCTGGTTAAATACTTTAAATTTAAGTAAAAGAAAGTGTTCCGTGCTGCTGTAGAATCGTTCCCCTTTCAAAAGATCAAATACAAGCGGAATATTTTTACTGAGGGGAACACTGAAGCGATCGCAGTGTGCGATATGAGTAAATATTTCTGTAACAAAAACATAATATATTTGTCTTCAGTAATGCTCGTCTTAAAACACAATGGTTTAAAATGATGTCATGACAAAACTGGCTGTGACGTTCAGAAGGAGAAAAAAACTTGTCTCTGATTTACCACCCCCAGTAGAACTTTCCAAACAGCACAGTCAGGAGCGCTCCCTGTGTGTGATGAGCTCAATAGTTCTGTTATAAAACTGGCATTGCGTTATTGTCTGTGATTCAAATATTTTAGAAGTAAAATATTTTAAATTAAAAAAAAATATTTTTCTAATTGTAATGTTTCTGTCAAGAGTTCACTGAGGAAGTAATTTACCATTTTTCTAGAAAATTCTATTTTTGTTGTTAATCCTTTAATAACATGCAAAATTACTCTCACTTTAGTTTTGTACAGATTGTCATAATATTTTTTTCTTACAAAAGCTGTGATTTTTACATGTGTGCTTTTTACACCTATCATATGTTATCCAACTTTTATTCTTAAAACACAATAATACTTTTCTGCAGTTACAAGTTTTTAGCGAATTTCCCTACAGGGAAGTAGCAATTACCGTAGGTGGCACGGTAAGACCTAGACTCTTGACCAATATACTTTTCAATTTTAATGTCCCAAGAGGCAAAAAAAAACCCTATGATTTGTTCAGATTTGTATATAATATATCTATACATAATATATATGTCTGTGAACCCGATACCTCGATATAGTTTTGGTCCGATTTTGATGTAATTTGGCTTCGAGGTGTAGGGTGTGAATTATTGGCTAATGGGCCCTAGCAGTTTTCTCTTTTTTCTAGATACCAGTACCAATGTTGAAGGCTGTAATTCAGAAAGCACACATAACAATATGGGCCAATAGACAGGTGCTAACCAGTGTATTTTCTTTGACTAACAACTGCAAGTAAATCAAAGAAGAAAGAAATGCACTGCAATAATAAGCATTGCCAGTTTTTTTTTCTTTTTTAAAATTGAATAATCACAATTAGGGGTCTGCAGTACAGAAAATTTAAGGTCAGTACGGTTCGGTACATCTCGGTTCTCGGTTGTAAATCGGTACGGTAAATGCGGTTACCGGTATTTTTGTGGTTTTCTTCTCAGAATTGTGTTTTAATCCATTAATTTTTATTTTCAATACATTGAAATTACTATGAAAATGGATAGTATCCTACATTCATGGTTTTCTAACTACAATTTATGTACCACAAATTATGAAGATCGTTAACAATCCTTTGATAAGACTTTTATGTGCTCGGAACCAACTACCATTGACTACAATAGTAAAGTGTAAGTAATTTATATTATAATAGGCTGTACTGAACCGATAACGGTAACTAAGCCAGAACTGTACCTTACCGACTTTTTCCGTGCACCGCAGACCCCTAATTACAATATATTATTTTCATTTTATTTAATACGAGCTGGCCCGACAGACTTCGTCCTGTCCTAATGTGGTTTTATGTCAATGCTCGTTCATTTTCAAGATGAGCTCGTTCGCATGGCTCAATCACGTCCTGGTTGAAGTTCGTTTGCTACGCTTACTCACCTTTAGGTAGGAGCTCGTTCGCTGCGCTCACTTGCCTTCAGGTTAGCTCGTTCCCCACGCTAACTCGCTTCCAGGTTGAAGTTTGTTCGCTACGCTCACTCATCTTTTGGTTGCAAATTAGCTGTTGTCATAAATTTAAAATATAATAGTGTTGCACCCTGTTGGTAAACCTATTAAATTTTAATGCTATTGAACATTACAGAATCAAATTGTTTAGTTGCACCAGCTCTTCTTTTATTCCATTTAAATATGAGTACTCATAAGGTTAACATGGGAAACTCCTGAGCCACTGTGGTGGAGCCCTTTTGACGGATCTGCACCAAGCTTCACACAAACCATCCTTGAATAATGCGTAATAATGCCTGAAAGTTTCATTACAATCTGTCGAGCGGTTTCGGAGTCCATAAAGGACGAACAAACAAACAAACATACATTGGATTTTATATATACTCAGGGTGTCTAGTAGTCTGGAAAATCGGGAAAGTCGGGAATTAGTATTGAATTTCAAAATGGTCTTGAAAAGTCGGGATTTAGTCTTAAATTTAATTTAAAAGTCGGGAATTTTCATGATTTTGCCGCGATCGTCGTCTTGCGTTTACGTAACCACGAAAGCCAATGATGATGTCTACACAGCCTCGGGAAATGTTCATGATTTTGCCGCGATTGCGGATGACGACGATGACGTTTCCGTGACCGTGGGAGATGACGATGACGTTTCCGTGACCGCGGGAGACGACGATGATGTCTACACGGCCGCAGGAAATGTTCATGATTTTGCCGTAATCGCGGACGACGACGATAATGTTTCCGTGACCGCAGGAGATGACTGTGATGTCCAAACAGCCGCGGGAAATGTTCATGATTTTGCCGCGATCCCGGATGACGACGATGACGTTTCTGTGACCGCGGGGAACGACGGTGATGTCTAAACAGCCCCGGGAAATGTTCATGATTTTGCCGCAATCGTGGACGACAACGATCACGTTTCTGTAACCGCTGCTGTCAATGATGATGTCTAAACGTACGGTACGCGGAAGATTTCATGATAAAAAAACAACCAAATTTGCTGGTTAGAATTTTTTATTGCTGCATTATTTCTTTACTTGAAAACTCCACATTATCATAATACTACTTTATGACAAAGACAGGGGTTGGTGTAGTATTATTTAGAAAATTTTATTAAGCTATACAAATTGGTATCGGTATCAAAAATCGAGAATCGATACATTTTGGTATCAACGCCCAATAATTGTTGAAAAACTAGTCCTGTAAAATCTGGAATTAGTCTTAAAAAGTCTGGAATTATTAGTCTTGAATTTTATAATGGAAATAAACTAGACACCCTGTATACTAGCTGTTACCCACGGGCTTCACCCCGTTTGACATCATAAGTATTAATAAAACTATTAATTGGTTTAGTTAACCCGAAATAAACAAAATACAGTTAAAGGAACAAATAACCACACCTGATTTTAATAAGGTAATAAATTGAAAGAATAACAAACAAATAAGTACAGCTGAGGTATTTTTAACATTATGTATATGAAAAGTTCCCTTTAGAAAGGAATTACGGCCTTAAAGGGCAATTTATGAAATAATGGATATTTTGCACAAGGTTTCTCGTCATGACAAAAATTTTAAGTATATGGTTTATGGGGGTGTGACTTGTAGTTTTCTCAAAAGTTCATGGGTACTTTTGGCTTTATATATAGATAGAAGATTCATATTTCCTCAACTTTTGCCTTCCCACCTATACATTTAACCCAGTGCTCACTAATATTTTAATTGGTAAACTAAGTTTAAAGTTATAGTATCTTAACTACTAAACACTAAGTAAGTTTAAACAATTCCCCTTTTTTATGACATTTAGTTCTGTGCAAATGAACAGCCCTAATATTATTTGCATTGTAGGTGCAATGGTTTAAAAAACAACTAGTGTACATGTTGCTCGAAATCGAGCAATTGCAAAGAAGTAAAGTAAACTTATTAAAAAAACTAATAAAAGGCATAATTTCCCATGAGTTTAAAAGACTCAACTTATAGATTACGTACCTAACAGTTCCATATAATCAACATTTATTGTAAATATTTTATAATTTTTCAAAAGCTGATCTGGTTTTTTAGTGTATTCTACAAATGTTCCCCACTTATAGCCACATTAGGTTGTCCATGTTGATCTTCGTCAGTGATAATGTAGTCTGCATGGCACTACATCGCCAGTACGTTTACAAATTTCAGTCATTTTTTTATAGTGATAACATTTTGTTGACATTACTTAAGAACTGCCTGATTTTCTGCATAACCTCTCTATCACAATAATTGTATTTGCTTCAGTTAGCATTAATTTGGTTAGTTACTGTTATAACGTAAGTTATATTTCTGAGAAAAATCCAGAATTGAAAGGTCTAATATTGTTCAGTTGGTTTTTTGTTTCCCTTAAATGTGGATAATGCAAATCCTTCAATGAAAGTTTTATTAAGGTTTCTTGGATGTAGTCATATTATTTTAAAATCACTTGACTTTTATGAAAAAATATATTTTATTTAATGTCCTTGCGGTACCAGTTAAATTCAGCCTTAGAGTGTTTTATTTTGCCAATCATCATAAAGTTATGTCCGTGTTTACTACAAAATAGTAACACTTCGGCTAACATCCTTGTTCATTGTTTGTGAACATCTTCATATTGTAGGTGTTCTTCATTATATAGGAGGTAAAATATATCAAATTTCCCAGGCTTCCTCGATATTTTACATAGTAAATTCAAGTGGTAAGTATTTAATTTCAACAAAATCAGTAAATGTACCCAAAGCGTTTCGTTGAATTGAAAATAAATAACAGCAATTAAATTATACAGCTGATCAAAATGTAAAGAATTATGTTCTCCATAAGGATAACATTGGAACTTTCAAAGCCACTGGGGCAGAGCCCAAGGGACTTTTTATAAAATGTAAGGCCAGGTTGCAAATCTACGCGACACGCTCTTTCTAATGAGACGTCAATGGATAAAATCGGTTAAGAAATGGCGGAGGAGTTCAACCGACAAAGTTTCATGTAGCGTATTAATTATATAGATTTTTGACCTCCATTTAAAGTAATGTATATGCTGTGAATATGTGATATAACTTGTTCACACACATTACATAGACATTTTTTTTTAAGAGAAATTGTTAAAGGCAAGAATGGAAATCTATAACTGTGTTTTAAAAAAGTCCAGTTTTTTTACATGTAATTTATTGGACTTGTTGTCATACTGCTGCAAAACCCATTGTTTTAATATCTACATTTTGGTGCCAAAGTAGTTCAGTAAACAGCTGGTCTTGTGGACATCGTCCATTCCATTGTTTCATGGAGCTGCAATGATGAGTAGGCTCATATCATACAAGCGCTATTGCCGTCAAGATAACGCCGGAAAAATTCCATGTCATACGTGACGGAAAATGCGTCGCGTTAATGCCGTCCCGCCAACGCTGTGTGTTTGTCATACATAGTCTTCCGGGCGCATTTGCAGTCGCAGCACTTATTTCCAATATGGTGCATATTGCTATCAGGTACATTAAAATAGTTACCTACTTGGTCTTTTTCAGCAGCTGTCAACTCATTCCAGTTCTAGGGCATGGCCTTCCCAACCTCGTTCCAGGATTGTGATTGTGCGAAACAGTTGCCTGTTGCTATTACCACTCGACTTAACGTACAGACAATTTTTTAAACTGTATAAATAAATTTTTCTTTGTCTAACATGATGATGACTCCAAAAAGGTATTCCAGAGTTTCTGCCAGCAGTCGGGTGGCAAATGCGCTCCGCTGACGCTAGCGCTCCTATGACAGGTTCGCCCTGTCACTAGTGCCATGTAGCCAACACGACCGTCCGCGTTGGCAGCGCTCACCGTCCGGCTAACGTGGACTTGCTGAAGGCATTAGTGTCCGTATGACTAGCCCCATAAGAACCCCCATTGCCGGGTTCGAGCGGCATCAACGTGGCGGCAGCAATAGCGCGCGTATGATATTAGCCTTAGATAAATTAAAAAAGTCAATTGAACAACCAATCGAGATAAACAATAAACTACCACTCCTTGTTGTTTTTATTGTTTTGTTAAGAGTCTGACAAACACAAACATTCTCAGATAATTTAATTGAAAAGCCCAAAAAGCTTTTTTTATCTGAAGTTTCCTCTTGATTACCTATAAAAGTAGTATCTAAAATCTTTATATGAAGTATTAAACTTATAAATTTGAATTTAAACACAATATAACAACAAAATATGTTTATAATAGTTTCCCTTAGTATGATAAATTACAAATTTAAGTTATAAAATTATAATAAAAAAGAAATTTAAGCGTATAATTTCAAAGTCCTTTTGAAGAAATGTATATAATTTTGCCTTGCTTGAATGTATTGTTTTATATAGCCTACAGACATTTATCCTTATCACCCATAAAAAATATTTTCATAATTATTTCCTCTGAGCTGGTCTATTCAAGCAGCTGGTCAAAAAATATTTACAGAGTTATTTGACACAATTATCTGTGATATAAAATGTATTTCTTTCATCCACTTGTGTAATATAGTTGAGTGAAAATTTAAAAACGTACGTTTTCAGGAAAAGCACTTTGCAAATTTTTTTCTCCTTTTTTCAAAATTTGTATTATTTTTTTTATTTCATTAACATTTGAAGTTTCATAAAATGACCATGGTAACGCAATATCTTTGGTAGTTTCTTTTTAAAAGAGCATCTTTAGTGAAAAAACACAAAATCCTGTCACGACCATAACGGACGTTTAAATGAATATTAAAAATAGTTAATATTATTTTTATAACTATGTTTTGCTAAAAACTAATTTACTTTTATGACCATTATATAATAAAAAGGTCACTGAGCTTTTTGTATATTTGGTCTTTCTAAAAAAAAATAAAAAACTCAAAAAATTGAAAAAAAGTCAATCAAATCTTTTTAAGTTTGTATAACTCCGAAAAAACTTACCTGAGGCCCAAAAAATCGTTATGTTTGTATAGAGGTGTGCTTCTTTTGTGTATAAAACATTGAAATATGACGATATTTTAATTTTTGAAATTTTTATGATAGAAATCATAAACGTGATGGTCAGGGACAAGCGGTATGGTCGTGAATTGTCTGGAATATTCTAAATCTTTCTAAACAATCCTTCAATTATCCTGTTAGTTATAATAAAAATGTGTTTCAATTGAACTAAACTGTTCTATTTACAATTATATTAAAGTTATTGTCACGACCAAACACAGTATAATCTATAAGGCTGGATTGGTCGTGAAAAAACCCGCGATGGTCGTGAAATTACGTGTTATTTGGCTCTGTTCTGGCAGTAGCCCTGCACCTCATGTTCGAGGATACAAAGTGGACTTCTAGGTTAATCTAGCAAATGAAATATCTTATAAACAAAAATTAACACCATGTCTACTTCATCGAATGACTACGTACGGTCATGGACACACCAAAATTACAAAAAACACAATCTTTCCTTTATTAATCTTGTAATTCCTCCTTTCAACTCGAAACGACCGGCACTACAATCCTGACGTACACCCCGAACTAGTCTCTAAAACCAACTGACTCCATCGACACCAGGCTTGCCACTGTCGTGCTCCAAAGTTGAAAATTTTTCCCAAATGGTCGTGACGCCAAATCGAGGGACAGACTTATTTTGTCATGGTAGTCAGTTTGTAATGACAATAAAATTATAATATGCTCCTTTTTTGTAAGTTTAATAACCATAGATGACATAAAAATATGGCATTATATATTTTGGCATGAATAATTAGTCTAAAAACAGCGTGAAAGTTGGAAAATGTACCCTAGGGACATTTCATGGTCGTGAATTTCGAGACTTTAAAAATACGAAAAAAATACCTAGAACCTATCTAAAACCAAATAAATGTGTGTAACATGTTGCCCCCGTCCCAAAAAATATTAAAACACATAATAATAAACTACAAATCCAGTATCTACAAAGTAAAAGGCCAGGGACATGAAAACGTGCGTTTTTAAATTTTCACTCAGTTACGCTTGGTCTGTGTTCATACTGCTGATATTTAGTGTAGTAGCCTATATTAAGTATAAAAATTGGAGTGTACAGTTACAATCATCCATTTTTATAATTTATTAATGTCCATCCTACATTTTAGTGCCATTTTTGTGCATTTAACCAGTTTTACATAATATCAATGTATATGTAGAGTTGTGTCTAAACTATAGATAAAAACTATTTAAGAGTGAGTATTGATATTAATTTTAAAGACTGCTTTGTATTTAATACCAAAATGCATCTTTTTTAATTAAAACTATTAAATGTATATATATATGTTTAAACTTGTATTTGTTATCCCTCATCAACTTAAGAGTCCTTGGAGCCTAGACATTCTAACTCATAAAACAGTTAAAAGTAAAGAACTACAATGAAAATTTCTAATCTCACAGCATATACTAAATATTAAAATTACAATCACTCTGGTGTTTGAAAAAATATTTTTGGACGGTAGACTTCTGCTCGGAACTCTTCAGCGGCTGTTTGAAATTAACAAAATTAACATTGCTCTTATGGTGGGCAAATCCAAGATAGCCGTTAGCTTCCATGGACTCCCTTGGAAATTCAAAACTACATTTCTAATCCCACAGTATACTAGATATTTAAATTATAATTACTTTGGTGTTTGTAAAACTATTTTTGGATGATAAATAACTCTTCAGCAGCTGTTTGAAATTATCCAAGATGGCCGCTAGCCTCCAAGGACTCTTATCACTATCAACTTATAATGTATTTCATTACTGGGGTGTATAGTGAAGCTTTATTTCAGACCAAAATTATGAATATCGGTCTGGTAGAAGAGCCAAACAAACTCGGAAAAGAAAAGCCAAATTTAACTCCAATAAGAAACTAGCTGTTACCCATGGGCTCCACCCCATTAGGTAAATGGAAATGGAAAGTTCCCTTTGGAAAGCAATTACGACCTTATAGAGCAACTTATGAAATAATGGATAATTTTGCGCAAGGTTTCTTGTCATGACGAACATTTTAAGTATATGGTTTATGGGGGTGTGACTTGTAGTTTTCTCAAAAGTTCATGGGTACTTTTGGCTTTATACAAGGTGAGGCATAATAACAAGCGATTTTAAAAATACTGTTAAATAAAAACCCTTTGTTAAAAAATTATTTTTATTCCACAATATTAAAAAACATGAAAAAGCATTTTCTGCAACAGTAAAATGTCAGTTATTTCTTGAAAATAACTCCAGTAAGATGGCGTCCGTTTAAACGTACACATTCCTCCAGCCGGACCTTGAAGTGACTCATCACATTTCGTAGCATTGCCAGTGGGATTTGACCAACTTCCTGCCGGATCCGCTCTTTCAGGGCTTCAATTGTTCTAGGAGGATTACCTTGGTAAACCTTACTTTTCAGATAACCCCACAAGAAAAAATCACATGCTGTGAGGTCAGGTGAACGAGAGGGCCATGCAATATCTCCATTTCGGGAGATCACACGATTTGGAAACAACTGATTGACAATATGCATGCTTACTCGAGCAGTGTGGGATGTTGCTCCGTCTTGCTGGAAAAACATTTCATCGTTCACTTCGTACTGTCCAAGTTGTGGAGTAAAAAAGTTGTCCAACATCTCTGCGTATCTCTGCGAAGTCACTGTCACCGCATTGCCTTGGCCATCTTCAAAGAAGTATGGCCCTATGATCCCTAATGAAGACATGGCGCACCACACAGTTACTTTTTTGGAATGCAATGGCTGCTGATGCAGTTCTCTAGGGTTAACATCACTCCAAAATCGAAAGTTTTGCTTGTTAACATAACCTGAGAGATGGAAGTGCGCTTCATCACTCATCCACAAACGGTTTACAATGTCCTCGTCTTCATTAATCAAATCCAAAAATTCTAAGCTGAACCGGCTTCTGCTTACAAAATCCGTTTCCTTTAGGGCCTGAACCATTTGGATTTTGTACGGGTGGAAGTGCAAATCTTGGTGTAAAATTCGTCTTACCGTTCGGTTTGAAATCCCAAGTGTAACGCTGTGTCGGCGAGCTGAGCGACGAGGGCTTCTGTCAATGGCGACTCTTACACGTTCAACGTTTTCAGGTGTGCGCACAGTTTTCGGTCTTCCCGTTTTCTTCCTTGTCGTTGACGCAGTCTCTTCAAAGTTCTTAACCCAATTTTTAATCGCACAGGCAGATGGCACCGGCTGATTCCGATTAATGTTGAAATGGTTGCGGAATGCACGACGTGCTAACTGGTATGAACTACCGTTTTGATAAAAGGCTTTGACAGCGTACGCACGATGCTGTGGGGTCCAGCGCTCCATTGTGACTAAATGCTATTTCGCGCCAAACGTAACTGATGCTATCCCCTCCACCTCCCTCCAACGCAGCTTGGTTCGCGCGCTTTTTAAAATCGCTCGTTATTATGCCTCACCTTGTATATACTGTAGATAGATGTGCAGGGAGGAAGTTGCTTTTGTGCATAACTCGAAATATACACCAGATAAATGAACAGGGGCAGATCCAGGAATTTAGTAGGGGTCTGCGGGTCAGACTTTTTTGGTTCGGGTCGGGTCGGGTCGGGCCGATAATTTTGGTCCTCGGGTTTCGGGCCAAAAATTATTAATTACCAGATTTTTTTTCTTTTTTTAACTCCTATCTGTGTTTATAATATTACTTAAAAATAACATATGAAAAACGATTGTATTTATGTATATTATTTCATGTTCATAACTTATTTACAGCTTAGGAGTTGCCTCAACTGCAAGAAAGAAGAAAATAATTTTTTTTATCAAGCCATTCTTTCCCATTTTCATAACTGTTGAAATATCTAAACAGCTATATTACAACAAGTTTGTAATGGAACTTAATATAAAAGGATCATAAACAAATCAATTAACCTTATCTCAAGTTTAGGGCCTGTGGACTGGCTTAAAGACTGCAAGCAAGAAGAAAATACAAATTCTATGTTTCCACCATGCAATATGAATCATTCATTCCCTGCCTCCTAACCTCCTAAGTATAAAAACCTCACACTTACAATAGCATTATTAGTTACATCATCATAAATAAAGAATTATTTATTATTGGCATTACAAGGCCTACAGCTTTACATAGGAATTATTTTTTATAGGGCCTAAAATAGTAATAGACTAAGCAACATGACAAGTTAGTCCAGGCGCTGAGGGGGTTTGAGCATGCATAAAAGTGTAACGAAATTTGACTTTTGATTGTTGCTATGGGTACCTAGTAGATGAAGAAAATCGATGTTGTCGCATTTCTAGGTGGTTAATAACATGGGGGGGAGGGGGTGAAGTTGGGGGGCCGCCCGGGGGGCCGCCGCGCACAAAATAGCTTATATCTCGAGAACCAAAAGTCATATGAATACGTTAGACATGTCAAACTGTGCAGAAAAATGCATTCTACAAATAGATTATGTAGTAGTTTCACGGAAATTGACAAGAAGTCACTAAAAATAATATTTTTTGTTAATTTACGATAAGTACAATCAGGAGTATAATGGTTTTTGTTGTTGTTTAGAACCACTAATTTTTTAATTGACAACTTTTGAGAGTAGTACATAATATAGGTAAATAATACTTCTGTATAATGAAACTATTGCGGTACATAACCTAACAGCTATACAATCCTTGACTATCCAATAAACATAACACAAACAAAGGCGCGAAACGCGTCGCGGTCATTGTTCCTGCTGCCGTAACTATTAATGGCGAGTACAGTTCAAGCTGAGACTTATATTATACTTTTAGAAAGATGGAGATTCTGAGGATTCATTTTCATATATATAAAATAGTATTGAGGGACTATTATGTAGCGAGAAATATAGTTTGTAAAAGAAGAGAGTTTAAAATATATTTTGGTGGTGGATCGTTTCCATCACCATCTGAAACTGCAATAAATTCCCTACAATTTATATTTCTCCAAATCTGAGGTTGCTTATAACAATTTTATGTAGTTTTGAAAAGGTCATAAAAATTATGTTTTCGTAAAAAAATGTTAACATTTCACATTCTGACGTAAATTGCTCAGGAAATTTCAATTTTAACTACATTTAACTATACATTTTTAGAAAGAACTTTTACTCTCAAATTATGCAGTGTAACCAGTGTAACCTAGGAATACAATGGAAACTCCATGTACAGTATCTAAACCTAAAATTATTTCATTACAATACAAAATTGTTGGTAAAAGAAAAGACACACTCGAGAATTATAGTCGAGTCAACACACTCAATAAAAGTTTACAAAGGGTGGCAAATGAATTTACTAATTTAAGCTTTAGGCTTGGCCTATTACAATAGTTCAAATTTAGGTTGAGGGGTTATATTGCATGGATCTTTATCTCAGGTGGGGTGGTCGAGCGGCATTTGAATTTAATCTTATGATTATATACAATTTGGTAATTAAAATAGTTTGGTACAGTAGTTTTTTATAATTTTATTTTTATGCGTATTTAAAAAAAAAACATTGATATTTCTACGTAAGGAATCATATTTTACACAACCTTAACATTTGGATAATATGGATAGAAACATTATTTTTATGATTTTTGCGGGTTGATTTAGACATTTCTAATTTGAATAATCCAAAAATTTGCAAACCTCTTGCTACTACGCCTAAAAGCATTGCTGAAAAATATATATTTTTATATTATTATATTCTACACTTATCACTGAAACATAATATATAATAGATATCTACTTATATGGGCATGTAACTGTTCCCTGGTGAGTCATATGGTACCACTACAAAAGGGCCAAAATATAACCACCACTGGTACCCAGATAGGGTCAAGGATTGAGAGATAAGAAGTAAAATTATAATGCTTCGAACTTCAACTATAACTTCAGCTGTTCAGGTCAATTTAATTGTTAACGATTGGCGCGATGATTCGTTGCATTACTGTCAGAGACAATGAGGGGTAAAGAAAAAATTACCTCTATTTTTAAGTTTTGAGTAGTGGTTTTTGGTAATTAAAATGATGTCGCAGGTTAATTAATGCCCACAACTCGCGTAAATAGTGTTAACGACACTCGTAGAAGTTTTTAAGGCACTCGCCAAGGCTTGTACTTAACATTTTCTACTAGTATCGTTTACAATACCTTTACGCGATCGCCGAAACAGCTGTTGCACCAATTGTGCAGCCTGGTCATAATTTGAGAGTAAAAGTTCTTTCTAAAAATGTATAGTTAAATGTAGTTAAAATTGAAATTTCCTGAGCAATTTACGTCAGAATGTGAAATGTTAACAT